ATAAGTGTCTTACCTGTGTGTATGTAAACACACCACATGCATGCAAAGCCCACATAGACCAGAAGAGGGCATCAGATTCCCTGAAACTAGAGTTACAGGCAGTCGTTAGGACAGTTGTTAGCAGGTAGCCACCATGTGGATGTTGGAAATTAAACATGGATTTTGGGCAAGAACAGCCATACTCTTAACTGATGAGCCATCTCTTCAGCCCTGTTACTGTTCATTTAACACACCACATGCATGCAAAGCCCACATAGACCAGAAGAGGGCATCAGATTCCCTGAAACTAGAGTTACAGGCAGTCGTTAGGACAGTTGTTAGCAGGTAGCCACCATGTGGATGTTGGAAATTAAACATGGATTTTGGGCAAGAACAGCCATACTCTTAACTGATGAGCCATCTCTTCAGCCCTGTTACTGTTCATTTTTGAGGCAGGGTCTTCCCTAAACTGCCCACACTGCCACACCCTAAACAGCACTGCCTGGGCAGTGCTAGAATTACTGGCATGAGCCCATATGCTGTGCTTCTTGATCTGTTTTTAGAGTGAGACCTTAGAGCAAGCACCAGCAGCCCAGGGTATGGTGGTACAGACCTTTAATCCCAGCAGAGGCAGACAGATCTCTGTGAGTTTGAGGCCAGCCTAGGCTACATAGTGAATTCCAGGCCAGCCAGGGCTACATAGTCAGACCCTGTCTCCAAACAAACAAACAAAAAACTAGAAAAAAAAGAACCAGCACTTACTCACATCCCCTATAATGATTCTTCACATCTTTTACATTGTCTCTGATTAATCACTTCTCATTCATTTTTTTCTCATACACATAAAATTATAAATTTATATAAATTCTATAAAGCAATGAATTTTGGAGCTGGTGAGATAGCTCAGAGGGTAAAGGCATTCACTGTAGCACAAGCCTGACAATCTGAGTTTGAGCCCTAGATCCCACAAAAAAATGGAAGGAGAGAACCAATTCCACAGAGTTGGCCTCTGACCTCCACGTGTGCCCCCCTCACAATAATAATAATAATAATAATAATAATAATAATAATAATAGAGGAAGAAGAATAAAAACTTTGGGGGGAGTGTTGAGACAGGATCTCCCTGCCTCCCCAGCTGGCCTGGAACTGGCTATATAGGCTAGACTGACCTCAATCTCACATTTCCTGTCTCTGTCTCCTCAGTGCTGGAATTAAAGGCATGTGCCACCACACCTGGCTCAGTGTGTCGTTTAAAATCTAGATACTGCATATGAGAGAAAATGTGTAATACTTGTCTTTCTGAGTCTTTGTTTGTTAACTTGATCATTTCCATTTCCATCCATTTTCCTGCAAATGACAGTTTTGTTCTTTATGGCTATATATCTACCACATTTTCTTATCTAGTCACCTGCTGTTGAGCAGCTAGGCTGACTCTGCAGCTCGGCTATTATGAACAGTGATACAGAAAGACTTTATTTCCTTTGGACTCTATCCAGGGGTGGTATGGGTGGACCATATGTAGTACTGGATTTTTTTGGTTTGTTTTTTTTTTTGTTTTGTTTTGTTTTGTTTTGAGACAGGATCTCCCTGTAGCCTCAGCCGACCTGGAACATAGACCAGGCTAGCATCGCTTCCACAGAGATCTGCCTGCCTCTGCCTCCCAAGCGCTGGGATTAATGGCATGTACTACCACTCTTAGCCTGGTTTTGTTTTGAGGAAGCCCTATACTGATTTCCATAGCTCTAGACTGCATTCCCACCAACACAGTACAAAGATTCTACCTTCACCTACCTTTCTTATCAAGATAAGTTCACATATTGTAAGAGTTACTTTTGGGTTTTTTTAAATTTTTTGTTTTTATTTTATGTGTATGAGTGTATTGCCTGCATGTGTGTAAGTGCACCCGTGTCATACGATGTCCTGCAGAGGTCAGAAGAGGGCATCAGATCCCCTGGAACTGGACTCATGGACAATTGTTAGCTGCCATGTGGGTACCGGGAATCGAACCTGGGTCCCCTGCAAGAGCAGCCAGTGCTCTTAACTGCTGGGTCATCTCTCCAGCCCCTCTTCTGTTTTTTTAAAGACAGGATCTTACTATCTGACTGGCATGGAACTTACCAGGCTGGCCTCAAACTTGTTGCATTCTTGTTTCCTCTGCTTAAGTGCAGGGATTATAGGCATGAGCTAAAATACCCAGCTGCAATATCACTACAATCTTTTTTTTTTAATTTTTATTTTATGTGTATTAGAGTATATTGCCTGCATGAATGTAAGTACACCCATGTCGTGCAGTGCCCACAGAGGTCAGAAGAGGGTATCTGATCCCTTGGAACTGGAGTTATGATGATTTTTAGTCGCCATGTGGGTACTGGGAACTGAACCCCTGCAAAAGCAGCCAGTGCTCTCAACCACTGAGCCATCTCTCCAGCCCCAAAAGTTTGAGGGGTTTTTTTTCCAATTAAATTACATTTGGTTAATTGACTGATTATTTTGTATGTAGTGTGTATATATATGTATTTGGACATATACGTGCCACAGAGTGCATATTGAGGTCAAAGGACAATATGTGGTAGTTAGTTTACTCCTTCCACCGGGTAGGTCCTGGTATTAAACGCAGGTTGTCAGGCTTGGCAGCTAGTGCCTCCACCATGAGCCATCTCACCAGCCCCTCACACACAAAAGTTTTAAATTTTGATGAGGTCCAATTTATTTTTATTGTTTGCTCATGGTTTAGATGTCACATCTCAGAAATCATTACCTAATTCAAAGATACAATATTTGTTTGTTTATCTTTATTTATTTATTTATTATTTATTTTTGGTCTTGTTGAGACAGGGTCTCCCTGTAGCCCCAGCTGACCTGGAACTCTCTATGTAGTTCAGGCTGGCCTCAAACTCACAGAGACCTGCCTGCCTCTGCCACCTGAGTGCTGGGATTAAAGGTATGTGCCACCACACCCAGCTCTATATTTTCTTCTAAGAGTGTTATATAGTTTTAGGTCTTATATTTAGATCTTTGATTCATTTTGTAGATGGAATGAGATAGCAATCCAACTTTCTTTCCCATGTGATTGTCCACTTATCCCAGCACCATTTGTTGAAAAGACTGTTCCTTAAGTCATTGAAATGTCTTGTCCTATGAAACTCATTTGCTCATATATAATGCTCTAGGTTGGCCACCAGTTGACTCTGTTGTCTTGAAATGTCATTGGGATCAGAATGGTAGAGGTACACACAGAGCTCAGTGGCAATCCGGCAAGCAGTTTGCTTCCCAAGGTCATTTCCATTGTCGCCATCAAGGGGAGCTTTTATAACTAAGCCATTTGGGTAGATCCATGCTGTCTTTGGGCTCTAGGCAGCCTTGTTGCCCTTAGAACCTGCACGTATACATGATATACTCTGATTTGGTAAATGGAAGAGCAGACAGTAGATAGTTTATTTTAGAAAAGGAGCAGGGGTTCCCAGAAACCCCAGGAGAGGGAAGAGCAGTCACTAGTCAGGGCACATTCCAGAAGGTGCAGAAGCGTGTTTATATGTGTTTAAAGGCAGTATTGCTGTCTCCCTGTGACGCCTGTGAGGGGACGAGTGGCAACCCCACAAGGAGGCATGAGTAAATGTACTTCCCGTGCCCTGTACACACCTTTAGACACTATGCAAAATCACTGAGCTCTAGCAGTTTGGGGGATGTAAGGTTGCTCTGACCCCTCACCACCTAGACCACCTTTGAGAGGTACCAGCCCTTGCACCTCACTGCAGCCTGGTGCCCATAGCTGTCTCATAGACAAAGTACGTCCTCATCTCACCTTTGCCCTTTCCCAGGGAACAGTGTTAGTGCATCAGCTCTTAGCTTTTGAGGAACCCCACTCTGACACTATCTGATCAGGAGGCTCTGCCACAGATGGCACTGGGGAAACCATTGTCCACACATCCGTGTTTGGCCGGGCAGGCTCTCCAAGCCCACAGCTAACCTGTTCAGAATGGAGTCAGTTCCCACTCACATCAAGTGCTCTTTTCTGCCACATAAGTGTGCCACGTGTGTCACATGGGGGCCCCACAGCTCACCTGCCCACTCACGGTGCTCAAGTCTTAACTCTGTGAGAAGCATCAGAGGAGGGCTGTGTGGGAGCCAGGGAATGCAGTAATTAAAGAGTGTTGTTTTGTTTAGTTTTTAAATAGTAAATCAGTAGTTTTCTGAACTCACCACTGCTCCAGTGGCCTTAGGCATTCCAGCCATCAACTTGTCACACAGATTTCTTTGTTCGAAAACTTCTAGGGTGTTGTCGGAATTCAGCAAAGCCCAGGTAAACTCTGTGCCAAGCAGTGGACCAAGCCAAGAGACAAAGATCCCCAAACTCCAGACTTCTCTCTCCCTCCACAGCCTTGCTACCAGCACAGGCCTGCACTTTGAGGGACCTGCAGGTCTCCTTCCTGCCCAAGCATCCTCTGGGACCCCAGGTGGTGGCCACAAGCAGCAGCTACTTCCCCAGGAACCTGAAATCCCACCCGAGCAGCAGCTGGGCACTGCCCAAGCTGTCCCTGCAGGGAACACTTCAGACCAGCAGCCTTCTAGTCCTGTGGGCAGCACAGCTGGCCAAGGGAGTGGCCAGCAGAAGGTCCTGGAGCATGGTGGAGTCAGACCGAAGCTTGTGGCTTCTTCTCCCACCAGTCTGGTGAGTGTGCGGGCTGTCCGGAGGGGTCTTAGGGAAATGACCCAAAGCTGAAGTTGGATTTCTCCAGCTGGGGACCCAGAGTCATTCTGCCTTCTCATTAGCCTCCCTGTCCCTGAATGGGGCAGTGTTAACAGCATGGTAATGATGAGTAAGTATGTCTTGTTGTGTCAGTAGTAGAAATGAGCCAGGCACAGTGCTGCTGGCTTCCCACCTGTATTTCTAATCACAGCCACTCTGAAGAAAGTGAGTCCCATCTGTTACCACACTCTGCTTCTTTGTTTTGTTTTGCTTTTTGTCATTGTTAATTGTTATTTTTTTAAGACATGATCTCACTATATGACCCAGACTGGCCTTAAACTCACGGTGTATTCCAGGCTGGCCTCTAACCTGTGATCTTGCAGTCCTGCTTCAGTCATGCATTGTGATTACAGGCATTCACCACAACACCACACTCCAGTATCCCTTTTTTTTTTTTTTTTTTTGTCTTTTTGAGCCAGGGTCTCCCTGTAGCCCCAGCTGGCCTGGAACTCACTATGTAGACCAGGCTGTCCTTGAACTCAAGAGATCTGCCTGCCTCTGCCTCCCGAGTGCTGGATCTAAAGGCGTGCACCACCATGCCCAGCTCATTATCTGCTTTTAACCACCACCATTATTCACAGGATACACTTTGTCTCCCTGCGCCTTGATTTTTCTTTTTAGGAATTAAAATTAAATTTTTATAAAATATTGGTTTAGAAAATGCTCATTTTTCAACATGTACAGGTTATAAAGTGCATATAATCAAATATGGCAGTCACCAATCCATATGTGGCTATATTGGGCACTTAAAATGTGTCCCGTCCCCAGCTGAGTGTGGTTATACATGCCTGTAATCTCAGTACTCTGAGGGTGAAACAGGAAGAGCTCGGGTTTGTGGCTATATAGTGAGAGCCTTTATTCAAAAAAAAAGAGAGAAAAAAAAAATACGACCAATCCAAATTGAGATGTGTTGGGTAAAATAAGCACTGAATTTTGACATTGTATGAAAGAAAGGATATAAAATCTCTAAATAATTTTTTGTTATCTACATGTTAAAATGAAAATATTTTGAATATATTGGGATAAATATATTGGCTTCAAACTCACTGTGTAGCTGAGGATAATCTTGAACTCCTGAACCTGCTGCCCCCATCTCCCAAGTGCTGGGCTTACAGGTGTGTGCCACTACATTCACTGTGTTAAACTTTTAATTTGTATTTCAGGAGACTGAGGCAGGTGAATCTCTTTGAGTTCAAGGCCAGTCTGGTCTACATAGTGAATTCCAGGCCATCTGGGGCTACAGGAAGACCCTGTCTCAAAAAGACCAAATATATATGTATCCGGGCATGGTGGCACATGCCCTTAATCCCAGCACTTGGGAGGCAGAGGCAGGCTGATCTCGAAGCCAGCCTGATTTATATAGTGAGTTCCACGTCAGCTGGGACTATAGGGAGACCCTATCTCAAAAAGACAAAAGCATTTATTTGCATATTTATTTATTTGTGTGTGTGCACATGAGCGCATAGTGCACCTGTAGAAGTCAGAGTACACTTAGCAAGAGTTGGTTCTCTCCTTCTGCTCTCTGGGTCACAGGGCTAGAACTCAGGTCGGCATCTTGATGCCAAGGACTTTTACTCACTGAGTCATCTCACCAGCACACGATTTATTTAAAAAATTAATTTCACCTATTTTCTTTTTACTTTATTTATTTTATGTGTACAAGTGTATTGCCTGCATGTCAGTATACCTGTGTCATGCACTGCCCGAGGAAGTCAGAAAAGAGCGTTGGATCCCCTGAAACTGGAGTTACTGAATGGTTGTTAGCTGCCATGTGGGTGCTGGGATTTGAACCCAGGTCCTCTGCAAGAGCTCTTAACCACTGAGCAATCTCTCCAGCCCCCTTCTTTTTACTTTTTTAACATGGCTCTTAGAACATTTAAAACTGTATATATGTGCTCACATTATATTGTTGGACAGCACTGTTCTAGAATAAGCCAATCTCATTTGTCAAGAACTTGAGAAAAGCCAGCCCTGGCATCTCCTTGAAAGAGCTGTGAGTGAGGAGGCTTGACTGTAGAACCAGTGAAACCCAATTCCAAGGCTGTGGATTCAAGTTCCTTAGCTTCTTATATTTGTTCCTGTGTGGACTTTGGTGTTTCCTTAGCAACGTTACTGACTGGCTCATATGGAGTGTTTGCAGCTAAGGAAACGTGTGTGGCATGTATGACGGAAGCCCCAGCTGTCTAACCAGAGCAAGTGAAGCAGGACAGCTGCTCAGGAATGTTCTGGGAGACTATGGAGGGGAAAGAGAGGGGAGAGTGAACACCAGGGGAGGGTACTCCCCTCTCTGGTTGCACAGTGACTCCAGTATGGAGGGCAAAACAGGGTTGTGAAGAGCAGAGGCAGGAATTTGTGTACCGGTGTGCTCAAAGCCTGGGTCCCCTCAGCTGCTCTCTGGGACTGTGATGTTACTGTTTCAGCTCCACCCATGCTCCTCCCCCTTTGGGTAGTAATTTCTGGATCACGGGACTTAGAATGGCCAGAAGCTTGAAGCAGAGAAACAGAGTTCAGGGACATGGCTTCCCTGCTCTTTTTTTCTCCTGTCTTCACTCAGGCCCCTCAGTATCCTCCTGCCTTTACCCCTGAGTGCTGGAATTAGAGGCATGCAACACTATGCCCAGCCGTTTCCCCTACTTTTAAGCTGACTTTTTAAAGTATAATTCACATACCATGTAAAAGTATAATTTAATGATTTTAGTGTATTTATGATTGTGTAGCCATTACCACAATATAATTTTAGAGCATTTTAAGCCCCCATTAAAGAAACCTTCTATTAGCAGTCAATCCTCTCCACTCTCCTCCCTCTACCTCACTCCCCTCAACTTCTGCGACCACTAATCTATCTTGTCTCAATGGATTTGTCTGTTTTAGAAATTTCCTATAAATAGAAATAGATAATATGTGATCTTTTGTGACTACATTCTTTAGTTTAGGAAGATATTTGTGTTTTTGTGTGAGTGCATATGTGGGTGTGGGTGCACATGTATATGTGCAGACCAGAGGTGTGCTGTTACCTCTACCTTTTAAATGGGTGCTGGGGATCCTAACTCGGGTCCTTATGCGTGGAAAGCAAGCATTTTACTAGCTGAGCCAGCTCCCTTAGCATGGCTTTTTTTTTTTTTTTTTGGTCTTTTCGAGACAGGGTCTCCCTGTAGCCCCAGCTGGAACTCATTATGTAGACCAGGCTAGCCTCGAACTCACAGAGATCGATTTGCCTCTGCCTCCCAAGTACTGGGATTAAAGGCGTGCACCATCATGACTGGCTTAGTATTGCATTTTTAAGATTTATTTAGTTGAACATGATGGCTCATGTCTGTAATTCTAGTGCTTAGAAGGCAGAAGCAGAAGGATCATGAGTTTGAGGTCAGCTTAGGCTACACAAGCAAGACCTTATCTAAAAAATAGGGTTCACCCATGTTATAACATGTATCAGTTCTTCATCTCTTTTATTGCTAAGTAATACCCCATGGTGTTTTCCTGACTAGGTCATCTGATATTTATACATTTATTAATTGATGTGTATTTGGATTATTTTCACTTTTTGGGTATTATAAATTTTGTTACAAACATGCAGTACAATGTTTTGTGTGGGCATATGGTTTTAATTCTCTTGGACACATAAGATTCTACTAGGAGTAGAATTTTTGAATCATATAGTAACTTTGTATTTAAGCTTTTTGGAACTGCCAAACTGTTTTCCAAAGCAGCTGCCTGGTTTACATTGCTACCAATGTATTTCTCCACATCCTTGCCAACAGTTGTTATCTAGTTTTAAGTGAATATATTATTATAGTCAACCTGGTAGGTGAGAAGTGGTAGTTTATCATGGTTTTAATTTGTGTGTCTCTGATGGCTACAGATATCAATGCCCTTTCATTTGCTTATTGGCCGTTTTATCCTCTTATGTAAAGTAGCATCCCATTCTTAAATTGAATTTATATGCTTTTTTTCTGGGTTTTTGAGGCAGGGTCTCTTGTCTCAGGCTGGCCTCATACTTGCCATGTTCCCAGTTGAGGATGACTTCGCACTTCTGACCCTCCTGCCTCCACCTTCAGAGTACTGGGATTACAAATGTGTGCCATCATGCTCATGGTATGAGTCGTGAATCAAACCTAGGGTTTCGCTCATGTTAAATAAGAATTGGACCAACTGTGTTATATGCCCAGCCTTGTTTAAATCTCTTAATGTTTTTTGTTTGAGCAAAAGTTTCTTTCTTTCTTTTTTTTCGTCTTTTTGACACAGGGTCTCCCTGTAGCCCTAGCTGGCCTGGATTCGCTATGGAGACCAGGCTGGCCTCAAACTCAGAGATCCGCCTGCCTCGGCCTCTTGAGTGCTGGGATTAAAGGTGTACACCACCGTGCCTAACGAGCAAAAGTTTTTAATTTGGGGGGTTAGGGATAAAGCTTAGTGGTAGAACACTTGCCCTGTATATATGAGACCTTCTATTCAGTTTCTAGCACTATGCGAAACACAAAAAATACTTAGACATGATGGTAGATTCCTGTAATCCCAGCACTGCAGAGTCTGACACAGGCGGATTTCAGGTTGCAGACCAGGTGAGATTCTTAAAAAAGAAAAACTGATACTCTGCCATGCTGTCTGTGCTAGCCTTGAACTCACAGCAGTCGTTGTGCCTCAACCTTCCACTTACTGGGACCACTTGCATGTACCACCATGCCCAGGTTAAAAGGAAATTTTTACTTTAATCATGTTTAATTTATCAGCCTTCTTGTTTATGATTTGCCTGTTCCATTTAAAAAATCTTTGTTAATCTGAGACCTCTGAAGGCCTTCCTCTATGTTTCCTTGTAGAAGCTTATCTTGCACAGTTAGATTTATGATGTACGTGGGATTAATTTTTATATCTGGTATGAGGTACAGGGGTGCGTGTGTGTGTGTGTGTGTGTGTGTGTGTGTATGGGT